ACTCAAAAACTCAAATTACTGGCCAACTTTGACTTTCGTGCAATATTCTATTGTCTTTATTTTTTCACTAGTATGCCAAGACTTCAACCCAACCCACTGTTTGGTAGAAAACAAGCGAACCCCATTAAAAAGGTCATTAGTCGCCAATAACACGCTAGGGAGAAGTAGTTGAGGCAGAATATTGATTCTTCGACCCCCGATCAAAAGTTGAGGTAGGCTTTCAGTTTCTTTTGCTTCACTGTCACCAGTCGTTGCTGTTGCGCGGTTAATAGCCATACTAAAACTCAAACGAACAAAAGAAAACGCGCATACTGCATGTTTCACAATCTTATAAGAATAGGAGCGAGCCGGAGTAGATCTTCAACCATGAAGTTGCTTCAAGTGCGCGTGATGACAATCTTAATCTGCAACTGCATGCGCACCGTTTCTGGGTTTTTGGCAAGAGTTTATAATTGTTCAACAAGATGTTAAAAAACGTAAGGGATTAAGCTTATCTTACCTAAAAAGGCAGTTAACCAACTTAAGCCCGTCAGAAGCTGAAAGAAGAGTTTCAGCTTGCCACACTAAATGACTTTGATGCCGTATGATTTTTACATCGATATCTAAATAATAACAATTGCCTGGACCACAACAATTTAATTGAAAAATAAGTTCCTTTTAAAGCAAATGCGACTAAAAAGTTACGAGCGTTTTTGTCTTCAACGGTCAGCAAAGCGATACGTTAAATGAATTTTCAACACACCTTGAATCGGCAGATCAAATCAAACTGTAGCATCCGCAAAATTCAAAACTCGCCCACATAAATAGCGTCGTACCTAATAAAAAATTCTTCAAAGATTCCTCAATTATTCTTTAATCATTAATTCATAACACCCTATTTTCGTAAATGAGTCTTCTCAGAGCTATGTTCGAACCAAGGTTTAATCTGCATTCATGTACACGTAACATTTTGTTCTTACACTTTATCACATTAACAGTAAAATATTGCATAGAAACAACATTAATTCTTATCTGGCATTCAAGATTCTACAGCAACTGAGTTAAATGGCATGATACCGAGAGATAAGTTTCTGATAGCCTCCTTATGTACGATCACTCAGGTTCACAACATTGAAATTCCATTAAAAGTATCATTAAGGTGTTTCCCATAATTATGACGATGGTTGAATAATTGAAATAACTGCGAGCAAGGTATTTGTGCAAAACAGCGTTTTAGCCTTGTCATACAACGGGAAAAGTGATTACTATAGGTCAAATGTGAGAGATTTCGACGGAAGACTTAGTTGGCAAAAATGTGTTATGGCGTGGATAAATTACAAGCTTAAACATATCGTGTTGTTACTTTTCCATGAGAGGTCCACAAGTCCTGCCGATCACTGGCCTCGTGCCTGTGGCAAACTGGGCTAAATCGGTCTGAATTTCCTGTGAGATCATATTTTAGGACTTCCTCCAGCGTTTTAGCCTTGTTGAAGGATTAAAACAATCCATGAGAGAGATCCCCGTTGGTAAACATTTAAGCGTTTGCCAACATAAGTTTTTTTCTTCAGGTATTCAGGCCCCTCTGTGGTGCAATTTTTATTAGGGTCTTCTTCAAAATTTGACAGATCTTAATAAAAGACTGAGCGCACAGGAAGAAAACTCGGTAAAAAGCACGTATCGTATATCTATCCTGATGACATCCTGCAAGAACAAAGATGTTTTGAAATGGAATACTGGAATATTTCACACAGCAAACGTCACGAAGGGAAACCATAACTCAGAAAGAAAAAACTTAATTAGTTAAAAATGATAAATGTATATTTTAGTTCTGCCCACTTTAGTGATGCAAAACAATAAAATCATGTTAGCTTTCAATCTACTATGGAATATCATGAGCTTCATAAGAGCTAAATGCGTCAAATGGCCTCTCTTATCGATTTTGAGGAGGTGATTTGAAAAAATAATTTCTAAAACAGTAAATAACTAATCTCAGTGGAGCATTAGTGAGTGTAGCTAGCGAGGAGCTAACAAATATTAGAACGCACTATTTTTTCAGGGTCTGGTTATAGCTTCCAGGTTTTTGAGCCTTGAAAAAGTGGTGAAAAAGAGGGCTCCACGGTATAAAAATAAGGCTGCAAATGTTCGTCGGCAAATTTTATTTCAATTAAATGACTTGAAATGCCCTTCAGATTGCAGAAATGGCGTCTTTTTATTGGAAAGCAGTCTTTCTCCTATGTTGGATGGTCGTGGTGTCCGTGGCCCGTCGTAGACAACCTATAAAGAACCCCAACCGGGACCAAAGAAGAGGTACGTAGTCCTGTCAGATTATTTGGAATTTGGTCATTCACTTACATGAAAGGAGATCACACGTGAACCTACAATCACCATTTGACAACGAGGCGATGTGAAGAAAATCTTGACTGCAATCCTTCTCAATTCTATTCCATAGCATAGTGAAAACTGAAATCAAGAGACAGAGATGGGTTTCCATATCACCAATGTGTAATCAATCAAATTATTTTAAGTCCGAAGTCACTTTTCCTTGTGGCTATGATATTTAGAATATCGACGTTTCATGTATCCCAGTCGTACAACTATATTTTCTTATTTGGTGCAATAACCTTCAATGTAGACGCATTGTCATTACTGACAGAGAATCAATCTGGTGAAGAATCAAGAGCAAAGAAATGGAAAACTCTTGTAGTAACCAGCCAAAACAAAAAGCCCTCATTAATTTTCGCTTTTTGTTCTTAAAGGGAAAACTGCAACAAGCGATTTCTGGTGTCCAACATGTCAGGGACCCACAAAGGAATCCTGTGATGGCAGCTCGACAAACACAACTTGCCCCAAAGCGGCCTTTTGCATGGCAGTCTGGGACAAAAACATGTTTGCCCGGAAATGTGTTAACAGAAAGATGCTCGATGTGCTTACGGAAAATTGTGCCAATGTTGGCCACATGGCGTGGAAATGCAGGCGACGAAATAAGCCATACCACTTGTCCTGGTGCGAACAATCAGGCTGCAGAGCTAAAGCACCGGGAACCGTAAACAAACCCGACCCATTTTGGTGCCCAACCTGTCAGAGCTCCTCCCAAGAATCATGTGATTCCAATTTGGCACAAACAGCTTGCCCCAAGGCAGACCTTTGTATGACAGTGCAGGATGAGAACGTTTTCGTTCGGAAATGCGTCAACAGGAAGATGCGTGAACTGGTGACCAAGGACTGCACGAGAGCTGTTGGATTCGAGGAATGGGTATGCCGCAAAAAGAGACGGTACCACGTTACATTTTGTGACCAATCGGGCTGCAAAGCAGAGTTTTCTAAAGTGACCAAAGATCATCACCTTGATGATGAAGAAGAGGTGATGAAACCTTTCTGGTGTCCAACTTGTCAAAGCAATTCAGAGGAGTCCTGTGCTGCTACTGTCACCAACACAACTTGCCCCAAAGCTGATTTCTGCATGGCCTTGTGGGATAAAAACGTCTTCACAAGGAAGTGTATCAATAAAAAGATGCTTGATGCACTGACTAAAAACTGCAGACTTGATAGCTCAATGAAATGGCAATGCAATGGAAAGCGAAGTTATCACATGACTGTTTGCAACCAGCCAGGCTGCACAGCTAAAGTATCAGAAATTTCTACAGAAAATGAAATCCCCGAGGATCCTTCCTTTAAGTGCCCCACCTGTCCGATATGCAAGAATTCCCAGCAATGCGACAGTGAAATGATAATGACCGAATGTCCGATGGCTACCCGCTGCATGGTGCTGCATGTGAATGGTACTGCTGACGTCGAAAGCCTTTTTACACGCAGTTGTGTAACTGAAAAGATCTTTAAAGTGATCAAGAGAGGTTGCATAAACAGACATGGTTGTGAAATTGCTTCCTGTACTCAGTCTGGTTGCAAACCTGTGTTAAGCTGACACTTTAAACTTTTGTGACAATTACTTCGTGAACGCTTCGTTTCCCCCCTGTTTCTGTTATGTGCCACAAGTGCAGAGCCCGTTATGTAAAACATATTTTAAGCATATTAGACACTTTGTCCATGTAAACGTCGTATAATATACCACATTCTTCCTTCGTTTATTCGAAGGCTTAATTACTTCAAATTGTGATACATTTCTAAAGTAATGTATAAATTTTTCCATCCACAGAGGACACAAGCTAGCCAAGTTACTTGTTAAAAAGTAAAGACAACCTCGTCTGACTCTATAATTCTGAATGATCTACATAGTGTCTGCCATATTCGGAAGGCAACGCAATTAAATTTTAATTTTTAATCGCAGGTTTCTCACAAGCAATATCTGTATGTTGCGGTGTCAAAGTAAAGATATGTATAACCAAATAAAGATATACTAGTTACGACCTCATAACAATTTGTGTCTATTTTCACGCTTCTTTGTTTATTTGCTTGTTTGTGTCTTTTTTTTTTCTTGATTGTTTTGGATTTATTAATCATGATGACATCTTCATTTTTTCTCTAGACTAAAGTTGACCGGGTCAGATCCTGCATCTTTTGATTGCAATGTCTGAAAATTAAAAGCAAACAAACAACAAAGACTCTACACAAAGGTGAAGAGAATCAAGTGAAGAGTGAGCCTCAAGCCGAAAATAAAGTTCGATAAACTAGAAAACGAATAAATAAAGGGAGCAAGTTTCTAAAGAAACTTTGCTGATACGTTGGTGGGGTATGGCAACAAAATAATTTCGGTTTTATCAACTGAGTTGATATTGTAAACTGGCCACCGTAAAGAGTTTCAAAGCTGACGTTCCGAGCGTTAGCCCTTTGTAATTCGCTCAGACGCTAACTAGAGCACTAAGGCTAACGCTCGAAACGTCAGCTTTGAAACTCTTTATGGTGGCCAATTTTAATTAACAACTCAGTTGACAAAACTAAAATCACCTGGGTAACAAATAAGCCGAGGGAAAGACATGTATCCTCTAACAAAAATTTGAAAGGTAATTTTCTCTATAAAGAACACCTTTCGAAGTCCATCAAGTTTATGTACACATCAACCGCAATTTTTCAAAACTGTTTCGAAATGTGTTTATTAAAAATCCTTTTCTTTACCAACAAAACTGCCCATCTTCAAAACAAGTTTATAAATATATTGACTCAAACTCTTAAATAGGTATAAAAATTTCGTGTACAAATTTTGACGGTACAGGACGGTACAGGTCACTTGTAAACATTCATTTTCAGCTCGTTATTTCGTTCTTCAGTGATACTGTAGAAATAGGTTAATCCCAATGCTATCCCAAAACAAGTATTTGATGGGAAAAGGAAATAAGGCGGTGATTTAAAACTGGTTTCCCTTAGTGCTCTAAGTCATGATACAATGTTCACAAATGGCTATTTTGTACGTTTTTAAACCCTTTATGCACCGTAACATCGGAATTCATATTCTTCATGCTGTTCTCTTTATATTTCCTTAGGCGCTGACAAGAAGAATTTGTTTAACAATCAAGAGCTTCATTGATCAGCGATCATTTCCTCTATTCTCATGACCACGTGATGCATAGCTTTTAGTCAGCAGCAGGTTCTTTAGAAGTTAGGTCTCGCGTATCAGTCGTCTAATTCCTTCCTATCAGCCAATAAGTATGCATCTTTCCTCTTCCCTGATAAAAAACGATAGATGTATTGCAATAGTCATTAATTTTTCTCACCCAGAACGTTTACCTTCGACCATATCATGCCGACACGGTGAGAAAAATGCGTCAAACCTCTAAGTTTGAGTATCGTCGTCATCTTCATTAAATCATCATCATTGTTATTGTTGTTTTTCTTTCTTTTTTTCAACCACTCGCAAATCGACTAAATCGTGTGTACCTTCTGACGTACACGTCAAAGAGTCTCTTGTTGGTTCCCTCAAAATACCCATCGACTAAAGGCCCAGCATATCAGTGCAAATACAGAAATACACGAATCGTGTTAAGAGTAGTACCTACCTTTAGCTCTATTTGTCCCCGGAACTCTGTTTTAAAGCCAATTTCCTTCAAGCTTTCGTGGCAGCTTTTACTAATATGAATCCTCATCGGCTTTTAAAAGATAAGAAGAAAGCTTGCTTTAGTGTCGAGTTTATTATCTTTTGCGAGTGTAAGATTTTGCATTTTATACCATGAGAACGGCATCCTGGTATTTCAAATATTTTCGAAAAAGTAAATAACAAAAAATTCGGTGAGGAAAAGATAGTCTATGGAGTAATGCATCACTCACACAAAAAGTACAACGAAAAGTACAACAAAAGTGCCTATCTGAAATCTTACAAGAGACGTTGTTCTGAGTCTTGCCGCCATGTTCACGCTATCACCAAACAGACAGTATTGTGGCATTTTCTCTCCCACGAGTCCAGCTGCTACCGGCCCAAGATGTATCCCTAAGTGAGAAAGACAAAAACAACCCGATCACTTTGCTTGTAAATAAAGAGTTCGTAAAACAACCATTATTAAAATTCTTGATTTCTAAATGAGTTTGCTTTTCAACATGAATAGTTGTCATTAGAAAACGATCAGTACTTAATACTATTGTAAACATCTCTCATGAGGTGTAATACTGAGAATAGATTATTCAAAAAAAGATCCGTCAAAATAGTCTTTTTCTCCAAAATGCGCACAACATTTCATGCACAATACACATACAAATCTGACCACATACAGACTGAGACAAAAGGTCGTTTTTTGTATCTTCATGAGCATAAATCCCTTTGGATAACAAAACATGTCTTGAGTTTTCTACATTCAATTTGTTCCTCGTAACTAGGAAAAATTAAACGGCGCTTCCTTCTTGAATTGTTTGTTCTTATATACCGTTTACACCAAATTTTAACAAATCACTCTCTCCTATACTTGTTGGCAACGCACCTATCGAAACAGTTAATAACCTCTTGGAAGTGGGATGTCTCAGTTCTCGAACTGAGTCTAAAATATCTAGGGCCATTGCTGCCACAGGCTCCACGTGTCGGTCCTTTCTAACTGGTACACCATTGACCACCATATACTGGGCGTCCCCAAGGGTCTCAAACTAAAAAAAGATTTTGCGATCATTGGGATTTGTCAAGGCTTACAGAAAGACACCTACTGTAGTAACAATGCCATAGGACAGTGGAAACTAAAAATTTCAGAGGATTTCAACTTGTCGTTACAAAAGGCGAAAACAAATAGTGAAAAGGAAAGCCAATCCAGGCCTAGGCTTGAGTTTTGTTAACTCTGCAAAATCATTCATAGAGAGTCTCTAGTTTGTTTTCCGAGATATCCGCAAAAAGGCTAAGCTCCATCAGATGTTCGAAGGGATGGCAATATAGTGGCAGTCAGAGCACAGATACGTTTTGACGATGAAAATGTCAGTAAAGGAATTTCCAACGCAAGAATTCCGGTAAGACGGGAGCCCCCGTGAAAACTGAGTTCCAAGCTCCTTCTCTTTCTAGTTATAAATACAAGTTCAGCATTTTAGTGCATGGAACAGTCAACGCTGCCAGAACGTCATTTTCTCCTAATAAATAAACCTCCTAGACGTTTTGGTGGGTAGTATCGCCAAGTATTTCTACGAGATAAGCCATATTTTGACGAGCGCTGGGCTGGAAATCCTTTCCTATCTTCTATAACCAACAAACAGCAACCGTAATTTGAAAAAGGGCTGTTTATTTCTTTGAACCTCCTTGTTATGCTTCACGCAGGTAGTAATAGTAGTAGTGGTCATGCGTCCGTCTACGGATGATGCTTGTGTAGTGTCCGTTGGATTTGTTTTTGGCATCCTCGCGAGTGGCTGTATAGTCCGACACGCAAATAGCAGTCCCCACTGCAGGTGTTGCGAGTAAAAACAGACGCTTGGTGAGGTTGCTAATAAAATGCCTTCCTCTTACATCTCTTTTCAAGGAGATGTTCACTTCTCGCAGGTACATCAAGTGTAAGATATCATTCTTCCAACTTGCTTTTTATGCCACTGATATCATTTCACATTGCTCACATTCTTGTGGTATCTTCCCTTTTTTCAATATCATCATTTTTTTTTGGTTGAAAACAATTGTTGCTTTTACTCATGCAAATTTATTGAATTCTACGTACCTTATAGACGTCGTGTTTTTCACTCAGTTCGTCAAAAGTTAAGAACATCTTATTGACAAGAGTGACGACTTCCATTGGTGAAACGCTAGCGCAAATGTTGTCAAAATTATCCAAGTAGCTGAACATGATGGTAACACTATCAAAATGCTTGAAAGGAAAGAAAAGATGGATAAATGGACAAAATTAAAGTTAAACCAAAAATATCCCTGATTTAGAAGTTTTTACAATCATCCTTATTATAGATTCACTCAAGTAGATTACAAATAGACAATAAATTAACTTAAGATGTATCACTACAATAAAGAAACGTTGTGGAGGAGGAGACAACCAAAACGCTCACGCACCATACTAGAGATGTCTCACTAATTAAGGTGTAAGAAAAGAGTATACAAATATAAAATTAGAAATTCTGATTATCCTTAAGAAAATTTAAATCATTCCTTTCACAGGCTGCAAGACCATTTGATTCTCTAATATGATTAGGTGTACTAGTTTGGTTAAAAAAGCTATATTTAAAGCCATTAGTTTCATTTACAGTAAAAACTGTGTTATGTTCACCAATTTACCTCGCAAGTTTGAACAGCTTTCTGACCATCTCGTAACCGGTCAGCTACAGCTTTTGGCATCATTCGATATAGAAGTTCCTCACTCCTCTGCCTCTCCTGATCAAGTTTCTCTAAACTCTCCTCTAACATCTTTCCCCGATCCAAGAGCTTTAAGGGAAAAATTAGCCATTAAAAGAAATTTGCTTTTACTTTATCAAATTGTAGTTTTTTGGGTTTGCAAAAGATATGAGCATCGTGAAAATCTCTTTTGTTCTCGTTGATTCCTTTTCAGGCTTGTACGTTTAACATACAAATTTGACCTTATTTTAAATATAATGTGAATATAATAATTTTTTATTATGTAGATACTGATGAAATATCAGGATTTTCCTCTAACTAAAAAATCATATCTTCATCGCGCGCAGTGAAGATACTATTTTTATCTTTCACGTGTGAGGATATTGGTGTCGCCATGGTTACTAACATGATTAGCCAATTACAAGAGAGCTTCCCGCTCAGGCGCGCGGCGGGTTCTTTTGAAATTTCATCAGTATAAATAAAATAAACAAAACATTACATGGCCGCTTGGGGAAACGAATTTTATTTTCGAGTGCTGAAAGTATCTCTCACGAATGAGCTTCGCTTCAGCACTCGAAGATAAAATTCGTATCCCCAAGCGGCCATGTAATATCCTGTATATCTAGTATAATTGCTCAAGTAATTGTTGAGATGCGCACGCTCTGATTGGTCGAGCATTCCGTCATATCTCGCTATAATCATCTCGCGCGAGGTGATTATTGCAGGGGCGCTGCTATAATTGAAAATGGCTGCCCTGCGGCCATTTTCAATTATAGCTTTCCGCTTTTCATTATAGCTTCCACTTTTCATTTTTACACTTTCCAAGCGGAACAAAGGTAAGTATGAAGTTTTTACTGATTGAGTGAAATAAACCTGTTAAAACTATGTGTATATCTTGATATGAGTAATCAACACAATCGTAACATAATGTGACAAAATTTACAGTAGAATTCCAAAACACTTGAGGTACTATACCAAAAACAATTATTCGCCTTAGGCTCTGTGAACATATTGAATATGCCCCCTAATTTCGTCTCGAGGTTCACGAATAATAATTGTTAAATATTCGCTTGCTGTTATCCGGGAATTTAAGTGGAAATGCTGTCTGCTTCAAAGGGTCAAACCATCATGGTACCATCCATCCTTGTAAATTAATCATGATAATAAAAGTAACGATAATAATAATAATGATGTTGAGGAGGAGGA